CTATCGCTACCTTCAAATGGTGGGACAGATGACTCAATATCCAAGAGGAGATCAAAGACAAGATGAACTTGCTTGACTGTCTGACTTAACGGGTCTTCAAGATTATTCCATATGATCTTGAGTACACGGTTCATTGTACCTTCAGCAAGAGGGATGTAATCTCCAGAAAAATCAGTCAGATCAGCCAATATGGAGGTTTTTATTTGTTGCAAACAAATCTGCGTCACTGTAAGGGCATGAAAATTGAAATGGCTATCCATGGGGTTCTCGCAGTACTTGCAGAGCTCAGGAAGTATTCCATTGTACAATATGGTCCAGAATGAACCATTACTCGACTCAGCAAGACGCATGTTGAGTGTAGTCCTGGGAACAACTGTCAATATTCCTCTAAGCAAACAAAGCCTACTCAAAACTGAGAATTCCTGGATACTTGCATACCAATCTCCATCAGGGAATAGCTCCTTTACATCCACATATCCAGCATCTGTACTATGACCAAAGAAACATCTTGAAATAAAAGAAGAGATCTCTCTGGGACTCATAAAAGCCTGAATTGCTGCACAGAAGCTCACACCTGCAGCCACCAAACAGTCCCGAGAAAAAGCTGATGACTTGAGAATACTTAAAATAGTTCCTATGACACTCTTAAAAATAACAGAAGCCTCCTCTGAACCCACAAATTTGGTAGGGTACCGCTGAAGCAAGTAGTATAAGCATGACATTGCCTCCTGGCATTGCTCCATCACTACTGGCGAGGGGCGGGACCCATGTTCTACATCCAAAACCACACTCCCCAATCCAGAAACGACATCCATGGCCACCAGACAAGAACATTTCTCCACAATTTCATTCAAAAATCCTAACTTGGGGTAGCTTATCAAAGATAGTATAGCTCGGGATACCAAGAGCCGTTTTCTTCCCTTCTTACCCGTATCACCATACTCCTCACAGAGAGACAATAAACAGCCACTGATCACAGATGCAAACTTCTGGCTCTTCACCAGTGCAGAAATCAGTGTCCGATGAAGAGGCAGTGAATTCTCAAGGAAGAGGATCTCAAGGTAAAGCCGAGTGGCAGCAGAGACAAAGTCATCGGCAATTCCAGTGGAGGCAAGTAACCGAGAAAATGCTGAAGCGAGATCCTTGACAGCTTCAACCTGGGAGTAGATGGAGCTCAAGGAGACCAAACGATTCAACTGTGCAAAGAAATCGGAGGAGGACACTTCCGAGGGCACAAGTTTCAGAGCTTCCACGAAGGGTTTGGGAAAGACGACCGAACTGTAGGTGTATCGGTGCCGGTGCTGCAAAGCACGCCATTTTGCAGACATCTTCGACCTTCCGTAAAATCTAGATGCTGAAATCCGTGGTAAAATTGCAGCTTTGCGACTACCCTCGAGAGAAGATTGATCTAACAGGAATTATACTAAAAAGCTTCGTGAAACGGAGCGATAAATCTTGCAATTTCACCTCCGGCTCCGTTCTTTACCGAATCTTTTCCCCTTCACGTCAAACCATGGCTTTTGGAACTGTACCGGGCAACAACCTGGCCAAGACTCGGTCACTGGTCGGACTGCATATTTAGTTAAGAAATACTAGTAAAACGCTAAGAAAATAAGAGACAAGTTTTTCGATTACTGAATGTTCAAACAACGCCAAGAAAAAAATGGGAGAAAGAGACTACAAATCAAGAAATGCACCACAATCACTTACGATCTCTAAGGGTTTTCCTTCTCCTGTCTCAACGGTGACCCCCAGTGAGGGGGCGAAGGGAGGGGAAGAAGGCGGCGGTGTGCGCCGCAAGGCCGCTGGCACGAAGAGCAGGCGGCGGCGAGAGAGGGACGTCGGCCGCAAGGCAGGGAACAGAGACGCGAGGGCACCCATTTCCTTTCCTTCAACCTTTACAAGATTAACTGACATAAACACCCTCAACATTAGGGAAAAGAAATCCCAAGAACGAGGGCTTTTCAGTCATTTGGTGCCTTGTGTCAAAGATCGGTTCCGGTCGTTTATGTCGGTTTCCACTCGGTTCGCTTCGGTTCGGCTTGCGGAAGTTTTCGGTCACGAAGGCCGGTTCGATCCGGTTCGGACTTGAATGTGCTACGAACCTCTTCCCTCCCACGAAGAGGCAGAGGAGAGAGAAAACAGAGGCTTTACTGATATTTTGCTTGAAACTGAGGCGCCAAAATTAAAGTAGCAAAAAAAAGAAAATTTAATGTAAATATGTTCTTCCTCTTACAATGTTGCAGAAACCAATTCACCTCAAAAGGGAATAGCTTGTCTACTTACCTGCATCTCAATGCTTTAAGGATAATTTTTGGTGTAGAAGACAACAAAAATTTGGAATAACTCCTCTGAATTTTGAATGATCCTACATCTGCAGTCTTCTAAGAATCACAAGTGAAGGTGACAAAAATGCAAGATCAGCAACTTCAAGTGAGATAGGCTAGTTTATGACATTAGACCACTGAATAATTTACTCTAACATAATTCTATGTTAAGTTTATGATGAAATGATCTGCTTTGAGGTTTTCAGATAATCATTGGATTTGATTTGAATGATTTTTTGTGGCTTCCCATAGCCTATCTGTTTGTGCATTCAAAGGTAGAGGAGGCATTTCACATGGTGTACCAGCCAATTTAATTCTGTGCTATCCACATATAATTAAATCAAAGGCTCCACTTTCAGCTTTCTAGTTTTTTTTTTTTTTTGCATGGTGATTGTGAAAGAAATTAAGGAATTAGATAGTAATTTTTTTCACCATTAAGTTTTCTCCCAGATCAACAAGATATTGACAAGACTTGGTTTGTGCACCTTCTAGCCTTAAAAGTACTTACTAAAGAAAAATGAAGCAATTTCCACCCTCTTCTTTTGATCACCTGATTCTTGATTTTGTTACCTTAATGTGCATTCTCTCTGCTGCCAAAGTGTTAAGTACTCCTGACATTTACATTCAGCTTACATCTTCACTGTCACAGTGTCACTGGTGCACCATTGTTGTGAATGTATACAGTTACCTGGATTGGGAAATTCCTTGTAGAGTTGCAGCTAAAGGTAATGGAATTCTCAGCAGCAGAAAATACACATGAAGTTATTGGCACATTGCCATAGGACCAGCAGAGCTTGCTTCCAGAACTTGGTGAGTGAAAATACTGATTGCAAGACTGATTGTTCACATTGCCTTGTTAGAAGATTTGTCAGCAGTGAAATCTTGCATTACAGTAGTTCTAATAGCAGTATCATCTGCAGTAGAACCTGAGTAGTAGTATTATCAGAAGAACCATCTTCAATATTCTGAAGCAAGTTTATTTTTCAGGCTCATCACCAGGGAACTGCTCCCCCAAAGCAAAACCTGCAACATTTTCTGCCCTCCATACTTGCTTTTGTCCACTTTTGTTCCCACAATTAGATTCAGAATGGCCAAAGACATTGCATCTCAGAGTCAATTCACAGTGAATCTGTTTGATATCTGGAACCATCAGTACCTAGCAGTATAACAAAGGATAAGACTCATCAACCTTTAGGTCGATACAAAATCCCTGAAAATGGGATTCCCTATTGTCTTCCAATATTGGCATCAGTATAGATTATGGTTTCCCAATTGAACTTGGTCTTTTGCTTAAATTTGCCTGTCACCCGAGATGGAGTTTGTGACAACAAAGCTGCAGCCATACTGGTGTAGATAATCCATCACATTTATACTGCTCTGCATCTGTAAACCAAGCTCGGAGTACTACTGGTCCTCCACCTTCACTTCTACATGGGAAAATAAGCATCTTAGACAATGCTCAGGACATTTTCACCTTTGACACAAGCAAGCGACTGAAGACAATGCTTCAGATCTGAAGCTGGGATTTGTGTAGCCTGTTCTATTTCTCTGTAAGTCAACCCATCTGCAGAATCGAACAACATAAGAATACACATTTGGTAAGTCGAAATATTCAATTTGTGTTTATAAAACACCTGAAATGCTCTCATCGTTCTTGATATGACACAAGTACACCGGTCACCCTCAGACTTGAACCTGAAATGCTCTCATCGTTCTTGACATCATTCTTAAACTTCAAAATATATTCTTTGCTCTAACCATCAATTGAAGATAACCATTTACAAGGACACATTTAAGTTTATAAGATAAATACAAAGATCATTGACTTCAAAACTATATACATGTAATTTCATCTTTTTGCTCTTAAAATTTGACATAGGTTTCTCCTATTATAAGGAGGAGATATGACTTGTGGAATCTGGGAAGATAGAGAGAACGAAAAAAAGGTGAGAGTGACGATGGATCTAACGAAGATAGAGATAAAAATAGTTTTTTAATAATTAAGAGACTTCTAAGAAAATTATTAAAAATTAAGACACTATGTTAAAATTTGTCAAAGACAGAGACATATCTTGAAAATTCACCATGTTTCTTCTCCATGTCCCTAAGAAAACGCCCCTCGTGGACAGGAATTGGGGTTCCCACTTGAATCTGAAGCCTCCGCGTGCCGGTCACGCGTCCGCCAGCAGCGCCACACGCACCCCTCCGTTTCCTTCTCGCGCTCAACGTCATATCACACCTCTACTAATCCACTCAACTCGGCTAAGCCAGCAATTATTGGAAGATTCTGTGGGGCCCGATGGAGATTCACCACAAAGCGAACACCGCTTTATTAGGTAAATCAATGTGTACGAAGGTTTGAGATTAACGTGAACCCACGGGTTTTTCCTGGCTTAAATAAAAACACTTTTCTTACTCATTTGTTTGGCACTTGATATATACCTTACATGTGACTGGGTACAATGTCCGACCCTATGTACCGCTTCTGCGGTCTCCCTATGTTTAGGCAGGTAGGTTGTCGCGTAAAGACATATTTGTAAGAGAAATGTTGCTCCCAAGGTGGGTCCCAAACGAGAGGGAAGGGCACGTGGAGGCAGACGGACAGTGGGATGTACCCAATGAACAGTCGGCTGCTCGCCACACGCTGCGGCGTGCCCACCTCTCTCTCTCTCTCTCTCTCTCTCTCTCTCTCTTTCTCGCTCAATTATCTGTTCGGGAAGGGAGGAGGAAATCCCCTGAAGCGGTCGACGTCTCTCTCTCTCTCTCTCTCTTAGACTCTCTCCTGGCGAACAAAGATTAGTTTCCCTCGGTATGTGCTGTTGATCCCTTCTTCAGATCTTTAGCTCATGTTGTTGTTTCTCTCTGTGGAGTTTTCGTCGATCCGCGTGCGATCCGGCGTTGTGCCTTTATTTGGGATTAGGGCTCGCTCGCTGGCGTGATGATCATGTTTTATTATTTGAAGTTTGAAGTTGAGATTTACCCTCTTTGGTCTTGTTGATTTTGGCATCCCTTGATTGTTCATTTGTAGCTCGATCTGTCAAAGTAAAAATAAAAATGTCTTCTTTTTTCCCTCGATTAGAATACTATTTCTTTCCGTTTGAAAAGATCGTAGCTAGTTTGCTCTTGGAATTGCAGTCCCTGTTTCTTCTTTCAGAAAATTCGGTTCCTGCCTCCTCTTTCCTGACTGATTTTTGTCGCTTGATTTGTCAGAGACTTGGAAAGAAAGCAATTCAGTTCTGAGTAGGCGTGTTGTCTGTTCTTTACAGACACGTAACCGGAACATGGTAGCGAAGGCTTCGGCTTCTATGGCGAGCGGCGCAAACGCTGTATCCGAGCAATCTGCTGGCAGGTTGATAATAGAGATGGTTTTGGGTTGCTTGTGATTCTAATTGAAAAGACCGTTCTGCTATATGAAACCCTTCATTGATACCATGCTGCAATCTGCTTGTGACTGCAAACAAATACGATTTTTCAGTGCTTGATTTGATTTTAGAATATCTGTTACAAATTCTTTCTGGTGTTTGAAAAGCATTTGTACCAAGGAACGTTACTTTATGTCCGATCCTACTTTTATGTCCATTGTTTGAATTCTTAGCCCTTGCAATAAATAGGAAATTCCTTAACAATGTAAATACCATAGATGCTAAAATAATCAGCTAAACTTTTAGAAAATTAACTTGGCAAGTACTAGTAGGGTCTTAGTTGCAGTTCATGGGTCTTAGTGAAGTTTGCTGCTTAAATTTTGGGGTTCAATAGGAGCTTAGGTTAATTACTTATACCACTAATATATATCTATATTAGATCCAAATACATCATACTTTATCAACCTATGAGCTTGAACGTTTGAAACAAAATTGATTTATTTCTAACAATAACATTCCCCATTCTTCATCTCCTTAACATTTCATGCTCATACGAATACATGCTGTGAATAATTAGCATCTGCTGTGAAATTTCTGTAAATTTGTTTGGCTTCTACTTGACACCATGTTAATATATATCAATTTCTCATTCTTAGTAAGTTTGGAATCCTAAAAAATCAAATAAATTTGACAATTTATATTGTATATGATGCTTAAATAAAAGCTCTGTGAACCACAACACCAAATCCTATTATTTGGAAAGGCCATGATCTGAGAAAGAGAACCTAGTTTTGTGTTTTATCAACGTGCACTGCTTACATTATCCATTAAGCATTTTAAATCTATTTAACAGCAAAACTATGAGGTATAATCAAGTATTTGTCATTTTTAATGGACCTACTTGATCTTGGGCTATAAAGTATGTCAAATAAAGCTGCCAGTCTACAAAAACTAGAATGTCATATCTTGCTGTACCTTGGAGGAGTATGCTATATGAAGAAACTTCTCTATCTTGTTCTGTTCTCCCATTTTCATATTTCATTTCCCATATGACTTTGATTGTTGGTGCATGTGTCGATCTGGACTGTACCTATCGGAGGTTCCTTCCCCTTCTTGTTCTGTCTGATGTTTTTGTGACTTCATACTTAGAACTTTTTCCATTTGCTTCTATCTATCTCAGCTCTAACCTGGAAGTATCTTCTTATACAGGTCAATCCCAAGTACAAAAATGTCAAGGAAAGTTCCAAAGAAAGAACACAAGGCTATGAGAGAGAAGATGAAACGTGACCATTTGAATGATCTATTTCTGGAGCTGGGTCAGGCACTTGGTAAGTTTCCATGTATAATATTTACTTTCAGATGGAAACACTATGGTAGAAAAACCTGCTTAAATTTACTGATGGCTTCTTTCCCTTGGGTAGTTTGCATTGAATGGGGAACCAGAATCTCAAGTGTACAAAGATGTTAAGAAACTTTTTGTGAAGCTCAATATGGTACCTTTTCCCATTTTTGATGGTGGATGGGTGCTTAAACTGGTAATGAACAAACTTGGTCTCAAAGTGTCATTCTAAGTTATCGGGATTGGCAACCACACTACCCAATCTGTTCGTGTCTTGATATGCAATATATTTGCACCCTAGATTGCTGTCATATTCAGTCAGAATCACCAAGACTGAGGATGAAATTATATGGGACCTTATAATTGTTTAGTTTTACTGATGTAAACAAAGTAAATTCAAGGGATCTTATAATTGTTTAGTTTTACCGATGTAAACAAAGTAAATTCAAATAAAATTTACACCTGATATTCCAATACTATGATTCACTAAAGAAAAATCTCAAAACGATCTAAGTACTGAATAACAAAACAGTTGCAAATTTAAAGCTTTCATGTCTTATATGAGCATTACTTTTTGCACAACTAAATGCATAGTTGCTAAATTATTGTGATCAAAATATCCTTTTGGAGTAAGTGGGTTGCTCAAGTGATTCAATGTGTACCAGGACCTAGAATAATTGACTATCCTAAATCCCACATATTAAGAACCAGTTAAGTGGTGTACCCAGTAGATGCACTCATACTGTGACGACATTTTACATTCTGATAATTTGGTTCTACTTCATATTTTGTTGGTAGGTAAGGCATAGTTAATTTCTACACATCTTTATCCTTTCCTCTTCTTTTGGAGAAAGAATTATTACATGGATATATTTGTTGTATAGAATAAGAATTTATACTGTTAACTTATCAATTGATATTCTATTACTCCATTAAGTAATGCTGTGTTTATAAGTTTTGGCTTAATTATTCAATTTACAGAAACATCCCGGCAGAATAATGGGAAAGCCTCTATATTGGTTGATGCTACTCGATTATTGCGAGATCTCCTTGCACAAGTTGAAGTCCTTAGAAAGGAAAATGTTACTTTGATGAATGAATCTCACTATGTAAGTCTTTCAAACTGAAATTAAAATTGTGACATCTTTATTAAAAGATTCCTTTCATGTGCTCACTTTGCTTCTTTTTTTTTTCCTAAAACTACTTCAGATTTTAGGAGTTTGACTTCCAAGCTATTTGTTAAACAAGTGACAGTCAACTTCAGACTGCACCTTGAAGTTCATTTTCCTCTTTTGTCCCTAATTGTTTTTGTCTTTTGGCATGTTTAGGTTGGTTGCCCTTGAACCTCTTTTTAGAAATGAATTGCCCATACACAGTGCTGAATTAGAACTCTAAATGTTTCGGTTGATTCTTTGTTTCCTCTATTGATGTTGGACTACTTGGATGCTAAAAGCCTTTTCTGGTCAGGTCTAAAGCTACTGTACTGGAACTGTTATATGCTTTTGGAACCAATGTAATGTATTGCAAGGTTTTACATTTGTATGATGGTTTTTATTGGAAAAGTAAATGATTAGATAATTGAAAGCTTATAACAATTCTTGATTAGATAGTTCTATGGCAAGAAGCATGCATCATCCAGAGAAACAATTTATTAGCTCTTTCAAGTAAATAGAAATGACAAACAGATTAGGAAGAGAAAAATTGCAGTCAATATATTATTTGGGTGAGCAATTAATTCTTATATGTTCTTTCTGGTCCTGAGCTGGAACAGGTTACTGAAGAGAAGAACGAGCTGCAAGATGAGAAGAATGTCCTAAAAGCAGAGGTGGAGAAGCTGCAAAATGTGTTACATGAGGGGACGCAATCTGATCCTATGGCGGAGTGGCATAGCAAATCAGACTTGGCACCTCCAACTCTGCCTCAGTCCTTGACTGCAGCATTGCCAATGCAGCAACAGCCTGTTGCCCCCCTCATCGACATTGCCCTTCATCAAGATCTCAATCCCCTTTCAGATGCTGCAATTTCACCACCCTCACCAGCGGCTACTTCAAAAGTGAGTAGACCACATGCCAGATACCCCACGCCCTCAGACACTTGGTCACTCGAGCTCCTTTCCAGAAATCAAAGAGCAGCACACGAAGCACAGCATGGCAGTGGCAGCACATCTGATGGAAGGGTGGAAGGCTTAGATAATCAATGATCCAGAAAAATGATCCATTTGAAAGATGTACATGATAACTTTTCTACTAGGAACTGAAGTATGTACTGGTCATGGCGAAATAAGTTTTTCAGCTCCTGTATGAGGACCATTGCTATCTTTATCTCAATGTCTAATGAGTCATCTTTGAGCGGTCGGTTCTCAATACCACCTTTGTTGTATGCCATTTTACATTTTCTTGATAGTTTGTGCTTTTCTTCTATTTGTTTATTCAGATTGCCAGAACTGTTTGCTGTTTCAAACAAAGTTATGATCTCCTTATACGTGCAGTGTTTCACACTTATGTCTCTGATCTATTTTTGTGGTGTTTCATCTGAAAGCCAACTGCTGTAGGTATTGGTAGCGAAGTGGCTAGAATGGTAGGGTTTCCATTCTTTTGTCATACTGGAGAGGACCCAAACCCTTTATATGCTACTGTTGGAACTCTTAGCTATGATCTATCTTCATCAGTAACCGAAGATAATGATAATGATGGTGATTGTGGTGTTGATAAGATGAGTTCTGATACTTTTCCAAAGCATGTGGCCTTCACCTCTCTTTTTGCCAGTGAGCAAAAGAACAGGTGAGATGCAAGTCTGAGACTTGAAAACTTTATTCTGATGATAAATATAGGATCCTATGGTTCTGTTGATGGAAGGAGGAGCAGGAATAACCTACTTTGTCAAAGAGGGTGAGGAGGATCTTTGACCACCTTGAAGTACCAACAAGTTCATTACTTTTTTTTGTCTCTGAGAGCTTGCATGATGAATCTGCAAGGGGTGAGAAGGGTGTGAGGATCTCTGACCACTTTGGATTAAATCAAGTGTCATTGCTTTTGTGACAATGAGAGCTTCAACCATGCAGAGCACTGCAAAGAGTCAATCTCCAGCTGGTGTTACAACAAGGAATACAAGTGAATGATGACAGTCCTCACAGGAATCCAACAAGCTTGGAAGCTGACAGTTTGATGATTGCTTTCAGAAGAAACAACCCAAAGAATGTGCTGCTGTTTCCTTCAGTTCTCCTTTTAACAAGGGGTAAGTGTTTATATAAATATTAATTTTTTGTGATATTTATTGCAAAATGGAGTTAAAAGCTTTGGTGAAAAAAAGGAGCAATATTTCATATTTGTCCATGCAAAGTCAGTGATTTTTTGTATTTATCCATCTAATATATACATTTAGAATCAAATGACAGTCCTTTGTTGAGATATTAAGACATCACCTTATAGTTAACTGAGCTTATAATTTTCTATCTTTTTAATTAAAACAAGATGGTCATTATGTTAAAGCATCAATAGAAACTAACATTCATCTATGTGAAAATGTACACTAAATTATATATCAATTTTGACCACTATATATATATATATATATATATATATATATATATATTGTACATGAAATTATATATTGTACATCAATCATTGTCCTCCCACTTTATAAAATGACAATTGACCTTTTCAAAATTGAAGATTAATTCCACAATATCTTCAGCTGTGATTCCAAAAAAAACCTCACAGTCTCATTTAAAACAATTTTCTAAAACACATTTAAATGGTTTCTCCTCTCAACTCACCCAATGTTTATCCCTTTCACAGGTCTTATATTACTTGATATTTTGCACGATATATTTGCACATGAATGAGATTTATTATTATTATTACTAATATTATTAATTTGAATGTTGCAGTTCCTAACACTCGATTGCCATCTTTTGTTAGCTCAGCCAATTGGGGACATCTTATGCATAATAAAATAATTTCTTCTTTAAGTATTAATCATTAAAAAACGATTATCCTAAAACAAATTAAAAGTGATTATGAGCTTTTCTTTTGTGATTAACTTTTTCTATAAGCATATAAGACGTTAATTGCATTAATACTGTATTAATCTATAAATGCGAGATTGCTGAATATAGAATTTGTATTTTTATTTTTTTGGAAAGGAGAAAATTACTTCATTAAATCATCCCTGTGATGATACAATCTCCAAGTACAAACTAAGATTGTGGATTACCACATTTAGATTTCGTCTAATGTGATAAAATATCACATGATCGAGCAACATAGAATTTGTCTTTGAAAGTTGAATTTTAGGATGAATAGATTTCTCGGAAATCAATTTACTAGTTGAATAAATAATAATAATATGGATATAATGATAACAGCCGTGATATGATATTGATTGATGGTGATGGCGAAAGAGAGATTCGTTGGAGACGTGATGATGTGATGTCTTTTAGGGTGATATCGACAGCAGATCTTTAGGTCGCACAATACTTCCTATGGGCGCGGTTTGATATGGTGTGGCGGCGTCACTCCACACCTTTACAAGCTCACTCCTGTCCTCGCGCACACACACACACAACCGAGGGAGGAGAGAGAGAGAGAGAGAGGGGAGGGAGGGAGAGAGATCGGCAGGGTTTCGATCGAAGAAGAGGAGGAGGGGAGAATGGGATCGGGATCTTTTCTTAAGGTGGTCGCCAAAAACTTCGACGTTCTCGCGGGGTATGAGCGGAACGCCCTCACCAAATCTTACCTTGTTCTAGTTGGAATCCGTTGAAAGTTGTGATTCTTTGGAGGATTCTTTTGGTGATTTCTGGAGATCTTCTCCTTGTATTTCGTTTCATTGATTTCGAAGCTCCGGTATCCATTTCCTTATGTAAATTCCCTTCGTCTGCATACTGTTTTGCCTTGTACTTTTGCTTCGCAAAGATTGGATTTTTCCTCAAGTGACTTGGAGAATCTTGTGGAGTATGCTAATTTGTTTTTGGTTGATTATATGAATTGTAACATAGTAATAGGAAAATTTGTAATTTATGACGGGGACACTTTTGTGCCGTCCGGTTGTCCAATTCTTTCTCCCATTGCCTGCCTCTTTAGTAGGAAATTGTTAGTGTTCTGTAACCTACTTGTTTGTAGTTCCACGTTTCTTGTGGTGGCATATAGTCAGCAAATCATGGGCATAATTTTAGGTTAGCAATCTAAAATGTAGTACCCAACCACGGATTGTCTCCAAATTGTATATATTACCCGCTTCGTTTCTATTATGACATCATTGTAACTTAAGTGTGCAATAGAACGTGAACTTCTTTCTGACCCTTGAAGGATTCGTACATCAGTCAGAAACTTTCTCATCTAATTCATCCCAGAATCTATTGGGAATTTCCCAACTAAGATCTCGTAAGATATTTTCTTGGCTTTGCTTTTTGTTCCACTGTATTATGCTTTGAAGTTTTCCACGAATTGATTGTATAACTTTACTTTCTTTAGTTCTTTGATATTTTATCCTTCATGAATTTCCCAGAATCTTTCTGAAAGATGTTTTCTTGGCTTTGCTTTTTGTTCCACTGTATATGCTTGGAAGTCTTTCATCGAATTGCTTTAGTTATTTGATATTTTATCCTTATTCTGTTACTACACCAAATTCATGATCTTCCAGGTGATGTAAAAGAAGTTCTATATCACAAATTCTAATGACACTTATATACAAATTGAAGATGATAAATTTTTCGTCAAACCATCAATTTTTCAAAGACATTATGCTTCGGTGCTTGTAACTCAAATGTTTCATATATTAGATTGGCTCTTTGGTTGTTTAATATGCTGCAATATCCTTGCAATTTTATGGTCTTATGTATTTATGTATTTATATAGAACTTAACTAAACATATAACTTTTTACGTATCTCAATAGTGGCAAGAGATCCATGTAGCCAACCCCAAATAATTGGGACTTACAGTTTTGTTGTTGTTGTATGTATTTATGTAGATTTTTTCTTTGAATACTAACAGTTGTTCACTTTATATTTCGTTTCATAATTATTGCTTTACCTCCATGTTTGGGTTTGAAGATTTTCTCTATCTCTAGAGCCACTTGTCTTTTTTTTTCTTTTTTTGCATTACTTTGAACAACCCTTTGGAATCCCTTTCTAGGACATGAATGGAAATTCATATCATGAACTTGGACAAGCCAATGACCATTCAGAGCCTATTATGCATTTAAAATAGGTTGAGGAAGTAACCTTATAACTCTAGCTAGCCAGGAAATACCAAATTAATGCTTGAGAGACAAGCCTGTTGGTGCAAAATTGGGATGGAGATGTTCATTCTTGTTGTTTTATCTCCTGTCTAATTTACACTGATGGTTTGGACTCTTTATTGTACATTGATTCTTTGTGTCAGGTTGAGTTCAGCATTGGTCCCCACAACGGATCTTGTCATTTTGTCACTGCTAAGCTTCTTTCCATGTTTAGGTGCACTTTGGAAGTTTGCTTCTAGGCTTATTGCTTGCATGAGCTTAAGCTACAATCTACAGTATATATTTCTTCATCCCAACTAGCGTCTTAAGGATGTCCTCTATATTTTCCTTGTGAGGATTGTAATTTAGAGAATTGTCATTAGTCATCATCAAGTTGTCCACCATTTGTTAAGATTCTTTCAAATCTTCCTTAGAGTTTTTGTTTTTAATTCATTGAGTTGTTGATTGTATTGGAAATACTCAACCTGTTATAAACCGATGTCCACGATCTTAATGTGATATGATATTATATTTCATTAGATTTTTATTAGGCAGTGGTCTGATGATAGTCTGAATTGGACTCATTCTGCTTGATAAACAAGAGATATTAGTTTCAGTTTTTAGGTTTCAATATTTCTCATTTATAGAGTCTAACTTATGTGCATATGAGATTAAATTATTTCAACTATGACTAGTTTTAGTTCTAGTTTGTAGAAAACTTATTTGTGACGTAAGCATGATAATTTAGTGTGACACATGGGAATAAAGGGAAAAAAAAATAGACACAAGAATCAATTAATTGGGTCTATAAAAAGATTAAGATCTTAGTCAAAACAAGTGCTAAAGCACGTAATGTCTTGAACTCTTGATGTAAAACTTATTTGTCATCCATAATTATGAAGTATTTTATTCAACACAAGAATCAAAATTAGTATTAGACTTGTCATATATAAGCAGAAATTGTCCTTTTTCTGGTGAAGAGCCTACAGAATGTGATCCCTTGTCAAATTGAAATTGCATTCATGGTTGAGTTTTGAACAACAAAATTTAGTTTTTTTGTATCAGCTGCCGGAATGATATCATTTTATTTATGATGCAGGGAAAGCATATGTGATTTGATAATGCAGATTCCAATATTGGATATTGTTACATGTAAATGTAAAGCAAGATTTAACAAGTAATGTTGAATTAGATGTCTTATTAAATCATTTGAGCAAAATTAAAGGGAAGAACATTCATGGTATCCAATATGTTGGGTCCAATATCAGGGCCATATCTT